TGGAAATGTTAAGGGAAGTTACTGGGAACAAAATAGTATTCCATAGCTCCCTAGGGTATCTTGAAACACTTGAATTGGCACCAATTGGAGCGCTGAGGCACCAAGAAGCAGAAGTGATTGGAGACATGCCTGCTCTTAAAGATTTACTGGCTTGCATGGAAGCTGCCACGACATAGTGCGGCCTAAAGGCATGAAGTATGGCCAGTAAGAAGCCTTTCCCCTTTCAGTCAACTGAAGCATTACTACCATCCTGGTGTGGCCTAGAAATTTTTGGCAGTGTAGTATACTGTTGGGGTGGAAGCCAAATGAATTCCTATGAACTGTACTTCAGAAGTCTGTTTTAAACAAAGAATTAGAGACACTTTTCAAGATAACTTGCCTCTCAATAGCAGAGTTTGGCACAGTTTGAGATTAGGCCAGGGTTTGATAAAGGCCAAATGCTATGGCCTCTATAGATCTGTGTTTTGAGAATTGCATGGCAGAAGAGAGGGTATCCACTCTAATACATTTTTATCCAGAAACAAATGTGGGCCAGATCTTTAGATGGCAGGTGTGATGCTTGAAGGAGTATCAAAGAAATAAGAACCACTCCAAAGACAGTTGATTCCTCAATACTGTGAACATCCACCAGGTTATGGCATCTATGTGCTTGTCTTATGCTTTTATCAGGAATGCAAAGTCATAGGGACCACCTAAAGAAAAGAACTTATGCTTCAGTGAAGGTCTTCTGAAGTAAAAAATGGAAGATTGATACAATGGGATACTCTAAATGTGTCAAACATTTTGGACAGCGGAACATTCAATTTTGCAAATAAAAACAGAGAAAAGATAATATTATCTTTTGGGGATTTTTTTTTTTTTTTTTGCTTGCAAGCCAAGCGGTGAGATAATTTGGATACAAGTTCTCCTGACCAAAAGGGATGACATGACAATATGTCCATTAAATTAAAAAAACAAACGAACAAACAAACAAACAACAAAACAAACAAAAAAAACCTCCACACACATAGGGTTTCTCATGAAAAATGTTTCTTAAAGCTAGGAGCAGCAGTTGCGGCTATACAGGCCAGGGATCATACTAGGACCACCTGTGACCATGGACCTGGGACATCTTGCATAAGATGTCCTGCGGGATAAAAAGAAATCTCTATTAAAACTGCTAATAAACAAGTACCCACAGTAGTTAGCATTTACATCCATACATGCAGAGATACCATCACCTGAAAGAGAACCACGACTTCTCAGTGTGGGTTTAATTGAGAATAAAATTCATTTAGATTCTGAAAAACTGTTTTGTTAAAGCAAGAGAAAGAACCAGTACACTGATCTCACAGAAAAGTATCATTTGACTCCTTGGAAATAACTGCATTGTCCTATCTCCTGCTGACACAGAACATGGCTAATACGTAGGTCTTTACGTACTGAATAATCTTAAAAAAAAAAAAAACACCAACATTGAACTGTTCTGAAATCTAGCCTGCTTATGGAGTACTGAAGTCTCTACCCATGTCTAATGGATTTACAGAGTTGGTTGTCTCACAAAAGCAAAGGAGATCCAAACAGGTTTTCCATAATATTCAGGATGCATTGATTAGTATTTGTTGTGAGGCATACTAAGAAGGCCCACATCATCTAGTCAGCTAAGTTAGCACAGATGCTTTCTAAATTAAAATACTGCCCAAGGTTTCTCTTGCAGCTTTCTTTTAGTCCAGAAGTAGAAAATGAAGACATGGGAGAAGCACAACCATTCCTCCAGAACTACAGCACAGAGCCTCTGCTCTGTGTCACTGTCCCGAATTTTACACTGGTGTTACTGACCTGAACATCTGAACACTGAACAACTTCAGCATTTGAGGTAGCATAAACAGTGTCATTCATCAGAGAGTCTGAACTCTCTGCCACAACCCCAACACTGTCCTCACTAGTGGCTGTCTCGCTGCACCACAACAATGTTGGTCCATTGTTGTCATAACACCTGATACCATGAAATGGAGTTAATCCACTAGGAACATTTACTTTCTCACCAGCCACTTTCCTCACTGGTGTACCTGTTCAGCTGTGTGAGCTGAGGCTCAGAGGCTAACAAAGACTGACAGAATGCAAGTGAGTCCCTTGATTGAAGTACAAAGGCCAGATGTACCCGCTGGCTGCCATATGGAAAACCATGTGTGTGACACCAGTTGAACCATACATTTGTGACTGCATCTGCCTTTATTTATTTGGCAATACTAATCAGGTATGATTCTGTTTTCAAAGTTGACACTATGTGAGTTGCTACAGATATAAGTATTGAGTGAATGGAATCTTGTGTTTACTAATGCATAATTAATTGATATTATACAACAACCATTGTGGATTTCATACAGCAGACAAGTGAGGAAAATTAGACCAAAATACCAAGTTCAGAGTAAATAAATATGCCATTAAGTAAAAGGAAAAAACCACTAGGATATAAACTGAAAATCTCAAAATGCTTGTTTACTCTAAGACAGTACATGATGGTACATAAGAACGAGGTGCTTTCTGCAGCTACTTTGTGGCTCAGCCTTTCGCAAGCATATCCATAAACTGGAGACAGTAACAGTGAACGAAAGTTTCAAAGATCCAAATGATAAAAATACAACTCTGAAAGAAGATTTTTTTAGTTTTCTTTGCACACCTCCATTCTACTAGGTTCACTGAAGAATGAGACCAATCTTCCGATAATGCAAAGAAATTTTAGAGCAAAAACATTCTATATTGCCTTAAGTTTTTTTTCTAGAGCAGCAAACAATGTTATTGGTACTGTTATTATTGTCCCTTCTATGTTAATACTATGTGAATAATTATCATTAATCCAGTAATCTGCTACAAGCAAACTGTCTGTGGCAGTTTACCACTTCCTAGCAAGGATGCATCTTTTGCAGCACTCCAGATTGACTTTAGATAAACTTTAAAATTGATTAATCCAGAGGATCTCCTGGAAGATTCACTCAAGTACATTCTAGCATATGGATCATCATCCACAGAACAGCTGTCTCCTGGAGACTGAACTTGCCATAGATAACCAAATTTTCTGAAGTGACATCGTTTTTAATGATGGTCTGCAAACCTAAAAAGTTACAGCATAAAATTCCCCAAAACTATCTGAAGACCCTAGGAGCAGAAAGTACTACAGTAAAGCAGATTTTTATACTAGATGAAAAATAATGATTCCTGAATACTACAGAACTTAAGATTCTTGGTTAAGAAATCAAGACTTTATTGAGTAACAAGGGAAAGAAAGTATGCAAAGAAATTGCCTACCAAACATAATTCTTTCCATGTTTAGCAGAGATACAAGGGATGATAGAGGATAAAAGAAAAAGGGATGAGGGAAGAGGAGGGGGAAATCCCTGCCTGCACCCTATCCTACTGCCATTCCATTTTCGTTAAGGACTTAGAAAGCATAGTTAACGAATCTCACACTAAGAACTATGAACCTAAGAACTAAACGAAGAATCTAAGACGAAAATTAATAACCTAAGAAAACTAACTAAATGGCAAGACTAAAAAAAAAAAAAGAATGATTTCTTTTCCCTAAAGAAAGAAATCATTAGTTGAATGTGTTTTAAAACTACTAGAGAATTACACTGTTATTCCCAGTGGGATACTTTAATATATGCTATTAAAATGCAACCCAAATGAGCCTTATAGTAAATTAATGAGGCAGAATTTTTAAAATTATTGTGATTTCATTCTGTATGTTACGAAATCTAAACATACTGCCCTTAAAAGCTTAATATTAACTGAAAGTGTACTTCTAATTTTTCCATATTATGTTCAGCTTTACAAGTTCACTATACATCTTACTACAATGATGCTATGACGCTTGTACTTATGTGATACATTTTTTTTTCTTTAAATCAAAAGCATTTTTCCTGTATGGATAAAGATTTTTCATATGTAGATTTTTGTAAAACAAATAATTCAAAACTATAGCGAAACCTCTTAAATCTACTGATTTTTGCTTTCCTAAGCAGAATATTTAAAGATTTATCTAAAATAAAATTTCCAATAAACTTTCAATATCTAGCTGAGGAAAGGTGGTGAGGGTGGGCAGCAGGAGGGGATAGTGGAACAGGAGGGAGATATTGTCCAGGTATTCACAAATACAACTCTGACATTTAAAAATTATGAATAAGTGATCCCCGGTGAACACAGGTGTTTTGAAAATATTAGTGTAATACAAAAAATAATAAAATACACACTCAAAAATGGTTTAAACATTGTTTAAAGCAGCCAACTGACATCTCAAAAAGCATGCTTCTAGGAGATGCTCCTAAAAGGAAACTAAATGCTTCTGTCCTCTTCTAGATTCCTTTGCACATTTAACTAAGTAGAACAAAGTAGAAGAGCTGGATGTACTTATTTCCCAGAATAGCCATAGAGAACTCTGTTTGCCATATATATTTAAACTAAGTTATCTCAGGAGAAAATGGACATAATAAAAATGCTATGTTCTAGCTTACTTCTTAAAGCTGTTTATTATTCCATCATTCCTTTTCTGAAATATCAGCTTTTTGGTTCCAAAAAAGAGTAGATTCTTCTCGGTAACAAAAGCAAGATAAGGACTCTTATTTCTGAGTTTCCAATTTGAAAATTAATACGAGAATGCTGTTTCCTTCTAATAACTACTTTTACTCCGCTAAAAATACTGACCATACTAGAGAACTAAATCAGAAAAAAAAATGAGTATATTCATCAACTGGGACGGTGTATCTTAACTACTGTATTAAGCAACATACAGTAAACCTAACTAAGAGGTACTAAACCCTGGAGTTGGAAACTCTTCATTCAAACTAAAGAAGTTTTAAGAGTCAGAAAATTAAAAAATACAGAAATGTATACATATCTCCTGGACATTTTTACCGGGTCGAGTAAAAGTAGACTTGTTTTAATATGAATGGTCCTATTTCAGTGTATTGCTTGCAAAGGTAGCAATCTTACTTAAAATCTTTGGTGAATCATTAATATTCGTGATACAGCTGCACTTTCAAATTAACACTGCAATTTTTCCAAATCTATATTTTGAAATATGAAGTTTCACAAATCATTTCAATAACCAATATAATTCCTTCTAGCCACACAGCAATATTCCAGTGCTGGGGAAAACCAGTTCCTCCAATCTGTATTTACAGAGTGCTTCAAGGTAATTCAAGATTAAAATCTCTATGCAAACAAAAGATATACCTTGGCATCTCCATCAGGCAAGAAGAGATAAGCACCGCTCTTATCCCGGTTACTTGTAGTTCCATACCATGCAAACTCCACCTTCATTTGATGGTTTTTACCATCTTCTTTTGTATTTATTTTCTAAGGACAGAGAATCACATTTGAAATGTCTCAGTATACCTAGGTTTCTCTAAACAAGAGCAAAAGTTCCAGAGAAAGTAAAATGGAAATGTTTCAAACTATAGGGCAACATACCTCCAGTAGTCCGGACATTCCAGAGAACCACAGTTTCATATAGGAGTTCTCTAAAATTATATTATCTGCAGAGTTTTGCATCTCTTTTATCTTGAAAATGTTGTCTGGCTTCACCTGCATATTATTCCTTCCATTCGTATATATAGCATAATCAGCTAAATCTGCTTCTGAACTCTGAGCCTCCAAAAGCTGGTAGGCTCCAAGCCCCAAAGGTGGTAGATGTGCCAAGAAAGAGATCTGTTGGGAGTAAAAAAAGGAGCCTTTAGTAAAATAAAAATTAAAATTATCAACCTGTTGCACCAGATTAACTTTCAGTGCAACTCCTTTTGCTACCACAATTATAGAAGAGCTGAGTTTTTCCCATTTTCCAAAAATAAATAAACAATACTCTAAAATAAATAGCTGAAGCATGTGAAGAAAAACTAGAGAACAAAAATTCTTCTGTTACTAATCTAAACAGAGCTATGATCACTGTTAACTTAATGCAGTTAACAGTTTTCAATCTTCTTAAAAAGGAATGTTACTACAGCTTGCAATTGTAAGCAAGTTTGCTATGCATTAAAAACAAATACATATGATGTGGAGAATCTTATACTGTATCTATACACTATATACCTATACACCACTCAAAATCCATAAATTTAAAAAAGGAATATATAATTGAATTGTCTCATTTTTACTTTCTACTTATTTAGAAACTATTATAAATTCTGCACAAAAGAGTAATATAGAAGGTAGATTTCCAGGGGAATCTGCTTAGAATGGGAGTTACAGATATGTAACTCTCTTTCTCCTTTTTCTACAGCCTCTGCAATTCCCACATTATGTTGACTACTAATAATTATCCCTTTGGAGGAGCCCAAGAAACACTATTTGAATAATCTTTATGGGTATATCGTTCTGAAACAAATTTAACTTGACTCACAGAGATCTATAGGTATTGAATCCTAAGAATTAATAAAAACAAACAAACAAACAAATGACATACTCCTCCAGTTTCTGGTGTGTGATAACTGGGTATAATCTTTTCTGATGTAATTCTGTACATTATCATGTAATTTTAAAATTCTCAGATACATTGTTGGATTCTAAAATCCTCAGAAACATTGTTTAGAATCAGAAATAATAGGTGGAAAGAAAACCATCTGTTGGGCTTGAGTACAGAGGAACGGAGATTACAAGCCTGCCTCCCGTATTTGGAAGACAAAAATTCGGAATACAACTGCTTGAGACATCATATCTAAAGATTTAAGAAGTCTTCCTATCAGAGTGTTTGAGCTTATATAAACTGTGTGATTGTGCATATGAATAACCCCTCGGAAGAAAAAGTAGTTTTAGAACTGCAGTTTTAGGAAGAAAAGACACATTCAATATTTTACTCTCATGCAGCTATTAGCTACTAATTAACTCTGCAGCTAATTGACCCTTTCACCATACTGCATAATTTTATGGAAATTCAATATCTAATCACTTTAAGAATTTTTAAAAATTTATGTTAAATATACATGCTTCTTTTATCCTTAAAATGACTGAATTAGTGACAGAAGACTGAAATGCCAATAGACGATGTGTACTTTTCATTAATGTGTCATTTTTGTTCTAACGTGAAGCCTCAGTACCTCTCAAATAAAAATACTTTATTACCTTTTACTTAAAGTAACATACCTGATATGCTTCATGTGATACTGTAGTTGCTCCATCCCAAACCGCACTAATTTGGATAGCAACAGGTTTTCCCAAAGGAGATAATAATGTAACTCTGGGTGAATTCACGTTGACTGAAACCACTGAAAATCGCTCTTGTTCCACAGGATTATATATCAGAAGGTACCTGCAAGAATATATTTGCCAAATTATCTTTCTTAAACAAGCTTTTATGGGTTTAATACTGTTGTACATAAACTATACAAACAAAGCATTAAAACAATGTTAAAACAACAGGTACATACCACAACAAATAAGTATGTAAAACATAACCAGGAAACAATGAATATTTAACATCAATTCTTGACAGGTCTTTTCTTATGCTGTTATTTTTCAAATATTTCAAACAAAAGGAATTTTGAAAATACCATACAATAATTCAGTTTCACATCTTAACCTTTATATCCATTATAGTTACAATCTCAGATTGGATATTGAGGTTAATCAAATGTTTTTATTCTGTTTTGTTTTTTTCAGAATGAATTATTAATTTTTTTATCCACAATGCTTTTGTGGTTTTTCCTTCGTTTAAAACATAATTTAGAAACAATGATGTAATGAACAAAACTTTGTGTACGTACATATATATGAAGTACATTCTTTGAAGCAACTAGCTTCTCTCTGCTATAAGGGAAAGTCCAAAATTATTAAAGTACAAAATTTTATCAAAATTCCCTATGGCAACTGTTATATACACATTGAAATCTATTTAATTGGATGTATATGGAATAGCTAATTTTTATATACATAAAATTGCTCCCTGAAGTTTCTGTCATTTCATACTTTAAAACAAATAAATAGAAGCACACATGCCTCTCAATGAAAAACCCTCTTGCCAAAATTTCTAATGCCTTCTTAAATTTACATCAGAACCAATATTCTACCTTCAGCCTCCTTGTTGTCCTTTTCCATTTTAAGACAGCTTGCCTCTTCATGAAATGCTGTCTTTCATCTGTTCCCAAAACTTCCATCTATTACTTATGAAATCACTCCTTGAGGGTTTCTTCTAGTAGGTTCTCATTCTCTCCCCAGTTTTCAATGAAGTTGTGTCAGGTGTTTACTAGTATTTTTCCTTCTCTTTCTTCCACTTCTTAACTTTCAAATTCAGTTACCACCTTTACAGATCAAACTACTTCATTTAGAATTGTTTATATCCAAACTAGAAATCTCTGTCTTTCAGGTCTTTATCTAGAATGTCATCTGTAAGTTAAGCCTCTTTCCAGCATCTCACATCCTGACCGTAAGTATTCGTTATTCCTCATCAGTTAACTCAACACCTGGGTATGCCATTTTGGCCCAGCTAACAAATCACTTTTCTCTTTTCTTCCATTAGCTCTGAATGCACATCAGAGGCTTTTCTCTAAGGAAGTGCTAGAGAAGAATGAGCTTTCCTAGCACCTGTGATCTACCTTGAAGATGAAGTCTGGAGAGACTTAGGGAAAGTAGGAAATTATATCCAAAATCGTGAACTTTGGACAGGTGTCAGGGAGAAGAGGCAATAGTTCATGGTTAATAAGGAAGAACAAGTTAAGCTTCTGAGATGCAACTTCAACATGCATGCAACTTCAACTTCAGCACAAAGTCAAACTGCTAACTTAATGCAGCACTCAACTATGAACGCAATACAAACACACCAAGGATAACACCTTTCCACTTTCTCCGTTCAGCAACCCTCCTTTCACCCTGCACTTTTTTTTTGTAATATTCCTCTAGTTTTAGCAAACGTAGTTTTGCTCTGTTGCTATCCAGAATCCTTATCAACATTGACCAGTTCACCATTTTCTCATTATTCTTTCACTGACTCCTTTTCTTTACCATCAAGCTTATTTTCAACTTCATAGCGCTTCAAATAGACCCTATTATCTCACAGTCAGTAGGAAAGGTCAACTCCAACTTCTCAATTGTTGAATCAGTTATGATCAAAGACTCTATTAGTTTTGTCAAATAATAATCTACAGACTATCTGTCACAGCTTGAAAGAGCTTTCCATAAACAATATTTCTTCCTTTAAAGCTGCTCTTTTAAACTTCTTGGGCTGAACTACTATTGACTGTTAAACATAACAACTATTTTCCTTGCATATCTGTGTGCACCCAGCTGTTGTCGGTATTTACTAATACAATCAAAAGTGCTTTAGGAGGCTCTCTTTTTATCCAGTTTCACATCGAGAGCTCAAGGACAATATAAATAATTAACAGGATCCTAGATTAGCTTTCAAAGTCTTTGACAACTTTTGCAAGAGTTTGTCAGAGCCTGTTTAGATAGTGTCCATTTCAGTGTAACATTTTTATAATTCTTATGGAATCAAAACCAAAGTAAAATAATACTGCACTTAGCCCAGTCTTTAGAAAGTAACAAGACTAAATCATTAGAAAGTAACAAGACTAAAGAATAATACTGAAATATATTTAAGAACTACTCATACACCTTGAAAAAAAGAGAGGACTGTGTCAAATACAGTATTGTACTTATGAGACGATCCAACACAAATGGCCAGAATAAATTATCATTCTTATGAACATAACATTACAAAAATACGTTCCGTTTATTCTTTCTGTGAAACAGAAATCCTCAAACCATAAGCCCCTGTGCTATAAAATGCACTAGAGATACAGTTCATTTCCAGTAATGATGTATGTCTTAAATTTTAATTATCTGCCAAATAATATATTCACATGAACATATTTCCAAGAACTGTGTTGATCTTCTCTAACAACTTCAATTACTGGTGTGACCAAACAAAAAACTCAAGACTTAAAATTGTAATATTATCAATGTACATCCCCAGACTACTTTTCTTTGATATTAGGCTAAAACAAACTCTAGTTGTGTCAAAGTACATATGCTTTGCACCTTCTTAAATCATTGCATTATAAGTGTATTATGCAATCAGACGAAGGTAGTGAGAACAGGGCAGATTTCTGACAGTAGAGACTTGTCTAGATGTCAATATTTTGTTTTCAAATTTTACTTCAGTAGAATTGAAGTACTTGGAAAGATGCAATTGTTACCTATAAACACAAAAGCACTGACTAATGCATTTAAATCACGTTACCTCTGAAGTATCACTCAGTTCCTACCCTTAAGTAGCACCTCACTATAACTAGAAAGAAATAATTGACATTCATTATGAAAGGACTACACTAAGCTATAACACTACAAAGAATGTCATCCACAAATGCAGAGTATGGCTCCTTAATATATGTAATGGAACCGCAGTTACATTATAGAAAAGCAATGTGACAAATGTGGCAAAAATAGGAATAATACTCCCTTTTCCAGAAGCAGTTAGTAGTTATTTTCCTTTCACTATTTAGATCACTAGTCTCTGGCAACAGCAAAATAAAAATTATCCAATCTCTGGGGAAGGGGAACAAAGAGAAAAATGTTGATGCCACCAGTAAGATTCTAAGGGAAGATTTTACTCAAAATATTTTACTTTGGAAACACCAGTTTGGCTGAGCCATTTCATTTATTCAACAGAAATAAATGAGAAACGGGTGCATATCTGAACCCAGTGCAAAATAGGATGCAACCTGCATGTGCAAATAGTTGCAATTTCAGAAGAGCAAATCCTGCCACTTGTTTTTCAGACACTTTTAGAAAGACACGCCTCAGGCTTTTTTTTTTTTTTTTTTGGACCCATACTTACTGGGATCTCCGAAACCCGTAGAGAGTATTTTTTATTTATGTAAACTTGATAATCTTCCTTAAACAACCTAGTATATGACATTAACAAACTTGTCTATTAAGCATGTACAATTAGTGTCAAATATGGAGTATTTTGAGTAGCTCACCATGTAGCAAAAATTTAACTTGTCTAACCTTTTTCAGCAATGCTAAAAAAAAGTTATCATCTTTAACTTGACTAACCTTCTTCAGTATAACTTAGAAAATTACCATCTCTTGTGCTTACTTCAAATAGCATCTTTAATAAATTATGAAGAGGGAAAAAAAAAAAAAAAAGAGTTTAGCTATATTCACAAGATAGTGAAAGGGGGAAAAAAGCTGATCCAAGCCTCCAACAGCACTGATCCTAGAATTTCTGAACAGCAAATAGTTTTTTAAACTATGAAGAGCATCAGTACTGCAGACTATTGTTCTTTTGTTTCCCTGAGATGTGTAAATATATGGACATACATATATGTACGCACAAATTCACCAACAGCACTTGTCACTAGAGTACCTTATATTTTTAAAGTTCATTCAATGCTGGCTTTACGAGTGATGCCATCAAGTGACGCCAGAAATCAGAACTCGCTACAAATAAATGTCAAAGATCATAATTGATAAAGGATTATCCAGAATACCATCTCTTAATACATAAAAACACAAAACAGTTTAATACACCAAATTTTGTGGCTCAATAGAGAACAGTTACTTAAGTGTGCTTTAAGGAACAATTACTTGAGGCACTCTAGCTCAGAATCTGGTCATTCTAACTGGTTTCTTTCTGGTAAAATTGACAAATAAATATTTCCCATGATAATTCATTGGAACCATTTCTCCAAGCACATATGGTCAATTTCAATGTGAAGTTGCAGAAGTAGCACCTTTCCTTGAAGCTGGCTAGTTTCTCTCTCTCTTCTGATATAGAGGGTAAGCTACAAAACAGTTTTATAAAAAAAGAAATACAAAGAACTACCCGTAATACATGCAAAACTGAGAAAGGTTGCAAGAAAAAAAAATTAGAAGGCCAAACAATATACTACATCTCCAGTCTTGTACTGAAGAATAAAAAAAGAACAAATAAAAAAACAGAAGCAGGTAAACTTTACTTAAATGTCAAAAAGGAGAAGAAAGTGAAAGTGAGAGAAGACTGCAAACACACAAGAAAATACTCAAATACTTAAGGACAACGAAGTGTTTCTATTTATGTTAAAACTCAAAAAAAAAAAAAAAGAAAAAGGAAGAACTGGTGGGTAGAAAGGGGACTACACTGAGAAAGGTGTTCAGAGTTCTTGGAAATAGAATGGTGTTTGAGGCACAAGATTTCTAAAAAAAACCCTGAGGTTGCCTGAACAAAACATCTCCCATAGTAAAATAATGAAAGCTGTCTAGATACCAAAAGAGTGATCAGGAGAGAATCAAAACTGGTCCTTATTTGAAAATGCACAGGAAAAGTTT